CTGTACCCCAGAATAAGCTCTGGAAAATGGAAATCACCTAGCACTCTGGGAGGCTGAGGCGGTTAGATTGCCTAAGCTCATGAGGTTGAAACCAAACTGAGCCAGAGCAAGACCCCATCTCTAAAAATAGCCAGGCATTGCAGGGGTTGCCTGTAGTCCCAGCTACTTGGGAGGCTGAGGCAAAATAATTGCATAAGTCCAAGAATTTGAGGTTGCTGTGAGCTGTGATGCCACAGGCACTCTATCAAGGGCAACAAAATGAGACTCTGTCTCAAAAAGAAAAAAGAAAATGGAAATCACATTTAGATTGTTACTGTGGGCCCAGATTCCAGGATGGGGCCAGGCACATAGTAGATATTAAATAAGGGTATGTTGATTGCCTGATTATAGAAGACGTAAGTGGGAGGTTGAGGACTTAGTCTCCTAAAGCAAGAAGCTGGGAGAGACTGGCATACCGTACATCTTTTATAAATACAAGCTCACAAGGTGTTCCGGCGGCAGCCTTGACTGAGGACAGCATGCCATGGAAGCTGCCTTTTTTCCTATGATCGGCCCTTACCCATTGGAAAAACATGACCGACCTGGCCGTGAAATGAGCGCGGCTTCTCTGTACAGCCCTCCACCCCTCGATTACCTGATGCGCAAACCAGGGATGTATTTATATTTAAAATGAATGTACCCCAGATAACCTGACAAGCTGTCCCTTTACCTCCCTTCTGCAACCCTGGCACTTTTCCTGACTTCCTGTGATTTCCAGCGTCAATTCTTTCTCAGTGAGGCCTTCGCTGTTTACTAAGTAATCCATCACTTCATCAGAGTCAAACCAGGTTTTCTGAAGCGTAATGTTTCATTCTTTCTAATATACCACCTTGTCACTCTTTTAGGCTGGTTGTCCCTCCTGTCCTGCTCCACTCACACTAAAGCTGGGGTGTCCCTCCTATACCATATTGTCATGCTAGGGCTGAGGTGTCCCTCCTGTACCTCTCACACTAGGGCTGGGCTCCCCCTCCTGTACCGCTCATGCTAGGGCTGGGGTGCCCCTCCTATACTGCTCACGCTAGGGCTGGGGTGCCCCTTCCTGTACTGCTCACACTAGAGTTGGGGTGCCCCTCCTGTACTGCTCACGCTAGGGCTGGGGTGCCCCTCCTGTACTGCTCACACTAGGGCTGGGCTCCCCCTCCTGTACCACTCACGCTAGGGCTGGGGTGCCCCTCC